CTTTTATATATTGGTTTTACTTTTGCAACTTTCATGTTGTCAGGGAAAATCCCTTTTTCAAAAGACAAATTACAAACATGTGTTGTCCGTATGTTTATATAGTTAGTATCTTACTTGACTTATATTCTGTTTTCTTCTTTCTGTGGCCTCAGTCAGAACTCCTCCCTTCACCTGTCAGAACTCCTCCCTTCACCTGTCAGAACCCCTCCCTTCACCTGTCAGAACTCCACCCTTCACCTGTCAGAACCCCTCCCTTCACCTGTCAGAACTCCTCCCTTCACCTGTCAGAACTCCTCCCTTCACCTGTCAGAACTCCTCCCTTCACCTGTCAGAACCCCTCCCTTCACCTGTCAGAACTCCACCCTTCACCTGTCAGAAACCCTCCCTTCACCTGTCAGAACTCCACCCTTCACCTGTCAGTACCCCTCCCTTCACCTGTCAGAACTCCTCCATTCACCTGTCAGAACTCCACCCTTCACCTGTCAGTACCCCTCCCTTCACCTGTCAGAACCCCTCCCTTCACCTGTCAGAACCCCTCCCTTCACCTGTCAGAACTCCTCCCTTCACCTGTCAGAACTCCTCCCTTCACCTGTCAGAACTCCACCCTTCACCTGTCAGAACTCCTCCCTTCACCTGTCAGAACTCCTCCCTTCACCTGTCAGAACTCCTCCCTTCACCTGTCAGAACCCCTCCCTTCACCTGTCAGAACTCCACCCTTCACCTGTCAGAACTCCTGTCAGAACTCCTCTCTTCACCTGTCAGAACTCCACCCTTCACCTGTCAGAACCCCTCCCTTCACCTGTCAGAACTCCACCCTTCACCTGTCAGAACTCCTGTCAGAACTCCTCTCTTCACCTGTCAGAACTCCACCCTTCACCTGTCAGAACTCCTCCCTTCACCTGTCAGAACTCCTCCCTTCACCTGTCAGAACCCCTCCCTTCACCTGTCAGAACTCCACCCTTCACCTGTCAGAACCCCTCCCTTCACCTGTCAGAACTCCTCCCTTCACCTGTCAGAACTCCACCCTTCACCTGTCAGAACTCCTGTCAGAACTCCTCTCTTCACCTGTCAGAACTCCACCCTTCACCTGTCAGAACTCCTCCATTCACCTGTCAGAACCCCTCCCTTCACCTGTCAGAACTCCTCCCTTCACCTGTCAGAACCCCTCCCTTCACCTGTCAGAACTCCTCCCTTCACCTGTCAGAACTCCTCCCTTCACCTGTCAGAACCCATCCCTTCACCTGTCAGAACTCCTCCCTTCACCTGTTAAAGCTTTTTGTTTTTGTTTACTTACATCATACAGGCAGAGGCCTACAGGAAGCTGGCGTCTGCTGTGATCCGGAGGCTCCAGGAAGTGAACATGTGACCTTCAGCTCCAACAGGAAGTCAGCTGGTCGTTACTTCAGAAGCTTCTTTTATCTGACAGGAAGTTAAATCAGAGCCACAGCCAGTCTGTCATGCTAAAGAAATGAGATGTTTAAAGCAGGTCTAAGAGC